AACCGTTATAGAACTCGTATTTCCTTACAGTTTGGTGACCCCGACGTGATTTGAACACGCAACCTTCTGAAAGAAGAAAATCCGCTTTTTACCGTCGGTTTTAACCGTTATAGAACTCGTATTTCCTTACAGTGTCCTGAATGATCCAGGGACACAACACGAGTCAGTCCCAGACTGAGCTGACTTGTTCATTTTAAATGAAATATGTCATGAATCATTGTGTTTGTCATGAAACTTTACTTTTTACAAAACATAATTTGTTTGGAACGATCAGAAATGTTAGCATGTCAAATTAAGCTAGCTGTCATGTTCTCTTGCCCCCACACCCCCTTGTTTTTCATTACCAGCTATTTGTTCACCTGCTTTAAAATGAGTTCAGAATCTGCTTCTCAGTCCTGATCACCTTAGAGTTTCATGTCAAGCAGTTTCACTGTAAGATGGCCTCTACTTTACCTGTGGTGTACACTGAATAGGCGTTCAAGGAGAATTTCACAGATTGTGATGGGGGATAATGTGATCCATTGTGTGTCTCAGGTCTACAACCTACACCTTCAACCCAAAACCAGCCAACCCCAGTTTCCTGAGCCATTCTCTGGTGGAGCTGCTGAGCCAGATCAGCCCTGCCTTTAAGAAGAACTTCACTGCGCTACAAAAGAAAAGGTAACAGTGTCGTTTTATTTATAGTTGTACTCTTCTATAATCACTGTGACTTTATAATAATATAATTACTGTGTTTGAGAATTAATAATAAAATATGGTGAATATCAGACCTCTACTCACTTCGTACTTTACAAAAAGCTCCTCTTTAAAGTAATTAGCTTTGACAGACATTCTGAAGTTAATCCTTTCTTTTCATTAACCTTGTTTAATGAAGAGTCGAATTTATTAGCCGGGACCTGATCTTGAGGCCACATGTCTGATTTTTTTTATAAGAAATTGAAAAGCAGCCTCGGTGTTGGTGATTTTAATTTATTTTTTTGTCCTTTGCAGAGTTCAAAGACACCCGTTTGAGAGAATCGCTACACCTTTCCAGTTGTACAGCTGGACCGCTCCGCAGGTCGATCACGCCATGGACTGTGTCAGGGCTGAGGACGCTTACACCTCCCGCCTGGGCTACGAGGAGCACATACCCGGTCAGGTGGGTGCAGYTAAAACCCAAGCAGTGGACGGTAGAGTCGATTTTGCTTTTTTCAGACTGTAAATGTAGTTTTATTTTTTCTTTTCAGACCAGAGATTGGAACGAGGAGCTGCAGACCACCAGAGAGCTTCCCCAGAAAAACTTACCTGAGCGACTGCTGAGGGAGAGAGCCATTTTCAAGGTGCACTTCAATTCAGTTTATGCATGGAGAGCAAAGTCACAGAAAAAGTCATCTCAGGATAATGTGCAGAAGAAAAAACAAGTCTAAATCATTGAGAGTCGACTGTTTTCTGTTATAACACGATACATTCATGTACAGTACAATATAAAATGCAGTTTAGTTATAAATGATCTTTCTGAAGAAGACAGCATATTGCATCAAATCTTCCCTTTCTCGCAATCCTCCATCCTGAGCTGCACGGAGAGGACAGTGAAATGGCTCAAATCCCATTTAACAAGACGAAAAAATGTTCTTCCTTCCTCTGTGTCCACCGCAGGTCCATAGTGACTTTGCGGCYGCCGCCACTCGAGGAGCCATGGCGGTAATCGACGGGAACGTCATGGCCATCAACCCCGGCGAGGAAACGCGCATGCAGATGTTCATCTGGAACAACATCTTCTTCAGTCTGGGCTTCGACGTGCGGGACCACTACCGCGAGCTGGGTGGCGACGCGGCCGCCCACGCCGCGCCCACTAACGACTTGAATGGCGTGCGGGCTTACGGGGCGGTGGACGTGGAGGGTCTCTACACCTTGGGAACTGTAGTGGTGGACTACAGGGGCTACCGGGTCACAGCCCAGTCCATCATCCCAGGCATCCTGGAGAGAGAGCAGGAGCAGAGCGTCATCTACGGATCTATTGACTTCGGAAAGACGGTGGTTTCTCACAGCAAGTACTTGGAGCTGCTGGATAAGACCAGCCGGCCKCTGAAGGTCAGTACCTTAACAGTTGTGTTGACTCTTAAAGTGCCTGTGACATGCATATTCTTCAAATACAAAAAAGTCAAAGAAAACATCTTAATATTTAAGAAAGTTGGAATAATAAACACAATTTAACCCATTTTGTCCCATAACTGGCATATTTTCTTTTGAACTTGGCTCAGACAAAGTGAAACAGGAAGTGACATCAAAGGGGAACTCTTTAACAAAGAAAACTCTCTGGTCTTTGTTTATTGAAACAATATTATTTGAACTCTGACTCTTCTTCATCTCTCTCTGATAGAGACTCAAAATCATCTTAAACAGATTCTTCTCTACAGTCTGAATTCTTGGCTGTTGTAGCAACGCTCGGTTCACATGCAAAYATTCCCCTTTGACATCACTTCCTGTTACTTCACAGGCAAAWATCTCAACAACTGTTCATCTCAGCTACATGAAATTTCTTTTGCAATATTTTATCAAAGTCCTCTTTCTAAAAATGCACTCATATTTATTACAACAATTCGACGTCACAGGCACTTTAAGCCTTACACCGGAAACAAACTTTATGTTCTGCCTCGTAAAGAGAAACACTCCATCTGATGTCACATCCAGGTTCAGTGTCACAAAGTGCTCAACGGGAAAGAGGAGGCCGTGGAGCTGTGCTCGTCCGTCGAATGTAAAGGCATCATCGGAAACGACGGCAGACATTACATTCTGGACCTTCTTCGCACCTTCCCTCCAGACCTCAACTTCCTGCCTGTGTGCGGAGAGGAGCTGTCTGCAGACTGTCAACACCATGGCTTCCCYCGCCAGCACCGCCATCGCCTGGCTTGTCTTCGCCAGGAGCTCATCGAGGCCTTTGTTGAGCACAGGTGGGTGCAAAAGCTTTTCTGTTCAAATTTAATACAAGTGGTGAACGTTCTGACTGTTTTGATTTATTATTATTATTTATCATCATCATCATCATCATCATCATCATCTGACTCTTCTAAGAGCCATCTTGACATTTTTATTCAGACAGGCTTTTAGTTAATGTGCTTTTTATTGTGCTTTAATTGTTGTTTTTTCATATTTATTTTTGATCTGTTTTATTGTTTTTAGTTATTTTGCTCTCTGTTAAGCACTTTGTGCTGTTTGTGTCTGTGAAAGTTGCTATATAAATAAAGTTTACTTACTTACTTATTTGTTTCAGATATCTTCTTTTCATGAAGATGGCGGCATTGCAGCTCATGCAGCCAAAAGCAAACAAGGACTTGAACAAGACCGATGTGCCGGCCATCACCGAAAGCTCAGAGGCAGAAAACAGTTCAGACAYGACCCAAACACAGACTGCTGCCACGGACTCCTCTAACGCCACACGAGTGTCCGCAGATGGAAAAGYCCAGACGGACAACAGTACTGACTCTGAAACGGTGATGGAAAGTGACGACACGTCCTCGGAGCCCACGGCAAACAGGCCTGTAGACCCTGCAGCCACCCAGAACGGGGAATGCAAAAGCCCATTGGAGGGTAAGGAGCTCGAGGAAAGTATTCCAGGATTGGCTCAGGCCAAAGAGCTGGCGGAGACCTTAGTTGCCGAAGATGGAGCTGGTGCTGATAGGTCCAGAATTACACCCCCACCCCCCCCAAAAATAAATAAATAAATAAAAGGCAGCGGCAATGAARGGAGAGCTACTCTGGTGGATAACTGCATCAAAAACCAACAGATGTTTTCTCTTTAAAGCAAACATGAATTTATTACAGTTCGTATGAATAAATTCACAGATTTATCACAGTCGAGTATCTGATTAGATGTTTATCAATCGGTTGCTTATTTCCACCTGATTAGCTGCCCCTGCCAGCTGTCAGCCTGCAGTGGGGAGAATGTTGACGCCCGATCCACCCGACTCCAGCATGTGGTCACTGTGCTGTAGGGTTTGACCCAGTGGGTAGATTAATYTGCGGCTGTGGTGTTTAATCCAAATCAGTCTTGGAATGCAGAAATAATCCACGGTGAATTATGTGTGGACTGTTTGTTGACTGGATCAAATGGTGGTGGGATTAAATCTGATGCCATGTCTACACGCTTGCATCCATATGTGTCAAAGTTTACTCTTTCTAATAAGCTTGGTTCTTTTAAAATAAAGTTCTGTGGAAAAGTTTTGAACAATTAATATCTTACCTGTTGTAGATGGCTCTTTAAATAACCTCAAACTGAAGAAGTAGTTTAATTCTGACCAGATTATTTCAGTTTTTATAGCTGCTCACAGAAGTATAAACCTTAACATTGTAGCTGTTTTGTATTACACTTTTACTTTTGTAGATTTCTGTGGTTATTTATAATTAGCAGCTAGCTGTTGCACTTTGGTCCTGCCTGGTGCACCTTTAAGTTTACACATCAACCAAAATAACCATGCAATAAAAACCTGACCATGACGTAAAGGTGTGTAAAATGATTGCATAAACTGCTAAGAAATATTGAAGATGGGAGTTGTTTCAGTTAAAATAAACTCAATTTTTCCAGTTTAAAGTCGTTTAAACACTGATCTGCAACAGGTAAGATATTAGTGTTTATAATTTCTCCACAGAACCCACTTCAAAATTATTTAACCATCTCTTTACGGATTAAGTTAAACTACAGAAAACAGCATCTTTCATTTCTTTTTTTTTTTTCTTATTTTTTGTGGACATTGTGTAAGAGCCTGCTCTGTTTACMTTTGTTGACGAGGTATTAGAGTTCCTGTTAACATTTTGTTCTGATGACGACAGACCCTAAAAGCCGTGAAGTGGTCCTGAATGCCTGCAAGGCCGTGGGCTCCATCAGCAACACGTCGTTTGATATTCGCTTCAACCCTGACATCTTCTCTCCAGGTGAGGGTCAAAACAAAAAAAAAAACCTCTTACATATGAAATCAGGTGTCAAAAAGAGTCAACAGGTAGACATATGATAGTTTATTTTTAATTTTGTTTTCAAGTTTTTATGCCTAGCTATCCAAGATGCTTCAATTGGAAAATATTTTGTATTCCAACAAAAAGCTTTTGGATTTTGCATCGTTAGGTGATGATATCTTTTTAATTGAGGAAGTAGCTGCTAAAACTAGTATTTCATGTTCAGCTTTAGTTAGTTTACATATTTTTGTTGTTGTTGAATCAGGAGTGCGTTTCCCAGATGACAGCTTAGAGGACGTCCAGAAGCAGAAACAGCTTCTCAAAGACACTGCTGCCTTCCTGGTGTCGTGTCAGATCCCATCTCTGGTTAGTGATTATCATCATCATCATGTGTTTGTTTGTTTTTTAGCTCAGTTTATAGGAGTGTGGGTTTTTAATTATTATGTGTGTATTCAAACCAGATTAAAGACTGTTTAGACCACTGCTCTCTGCCTCTGGATGGAGTCACACTAACCGAGGCCATGCACCAGAGAGGCATCAACGTTCGCTATTTAGGCACCGTTCTAGAATCAGTGGATAAAACTCCTGCCAAAGCCCAGCTGGAGCACTTCTACGTGAGTCCCCTTCCCCAACTCTGAATGTTGTCAGCGYAGACGCTGCAGCTTTTAAATATCAGAGTCAATTTTACTGTTTTTCCTGTTTTAATCGCAGAGAATAGGAATCACCGAGCTGATCACCAGGTGTGCTAAACATATCTTCAGGACGTACCTCCAGGTTTGCAACAGCTCAGATCCACGTCCAGCTTCTTAAAGACACAAACCTGCATTTATTTACTGTTTCCACTGTTTCATCTGGATGCAGGGTGTGGAGCTGTCGGCTCTGTCTGCAGCTGTAAGTCACTTCCTGAACTGCTTCCTGAGCTCCTTCCCCGACGCCGTCGCCCACCTGCCCGCCGACGAGCTCGTGTCGCGGCGCAAGAGCCGCAAACGTCGCAACAGGGTGCCCGGTGCCGGCGACAACACGGCGTGGGCCAGCCTGACGCCCGGCGAGCTATGGAAGAACATCGCCTCTGAGGCTCAGAGCTACTATCACTTCACTCTACAGTGGTGAGGGTCTCATCGCTCAGTGTAAAACTCAGATTTTTTTTCTTTTCTTAACATTATTTCTTCTATTTCCTGCTCAGTGAAAGTGTCGATCAGGTCGTGGAGAAATACGGCCTTCAGAAAATCACACTGCTCAGAGAAATATCGATCAAAACTGGCATCCAGGTAAAGGTTYCACCACCTTGACCTCACGTTCTAAACTCTTCATCTTTTATTTGAATGTATGATTTAAAAAAAATGCATGCCTTTTACCTTTTATAGATTCTGCTAAAGGAGTACAACTTTGACAGCCGCCACAAGCCATCCTTCACGGAGGAAGACATCCTGAACATCTTCCCTGTGGTGAAACACGTCAACCCCAAAGCCTCGGACGCCTTCCACTTCTTCCAGAGTGGGCAGGCCAAAGTGCAGCAAGGTGATGCAGTTAACATACTGCCAAACATGAGAATGTTCTCAGGGTTCCTGCAGATCCTTAAAAAGTCTTACAAGTCATTGAATTCATCAGTCCAAAAATAAGGCCTTAATTAGCCTTAAAATGTCTTAAATCAATCTTTCAGAACACATTGTAAATARGATGATTGGAATTCGCCTCAAATATTAAAATAATTGGTAATATTTATTTTTTTAACATTCACATGCAGACATTCCTCTTTGACATCACTTCCTGTTATTTCACATGCAAATATCTCAACAACTGTTCGTCTGAGCAACGTGAAATTCATTTTTTAATAATAATGTATTTCCAAGAATGCATTCTCTTTTTTTTTTTTTACAAAAATTTATGTCACAGGCACTTTAAGGTTTCATCTACAGCAAATTGGGGTTAAGATGCCACTGTAGGTCAAAAAACTCCAAATTTTGGGTTATTAGAGGATTTCCTGAAATTAAATTAAGTTTTAAACTGACTGCTAAGAGTGTTTTTATTGTAGTTGATGAAAAAGCAGTTAGATATGGATAAAAACAGTTGGTCTATTAGTAATATTTGAATACTTCAACCAAAAATACTTTGATTCATGAGTTTCTGCCAGTTTTTATTTTGTCATTTGTGTTTGTTATAAAATTGGTCTTAAATTTAATTTCACTTGGCATTAAAAGTCTGAAATTTAACTTAGCTTAAACTGCAGGAACCCTGGCTCTACACCAGAGAACGTTAAAAGTTTCCATTTATTTACATTTCATGTTTAAATGAAAGCAGAACATTAACACAGTGGTAGGGTCGACGACTTTGAACCAGAAAGTTGCAGGTTCAGTTTCCCCTAACTGCCCACTCCTCCTTTGGACTGTGATGGTTCAAATGCAGAACACAAATTTCCACCTTGGCTTTAGTTTAATGAATTCTTTTCAGGTTTTCTAAAGGAAGGCTGCGAACTAATCAACGAGGCTCTGAACCTCTTCAACAACGTGTACGGAGCCATGCACGTGGAGATCTGTGCCTGTCTGCGCCTGCTGGCACGCCTTAATTACATCATGGGAGACCACCCCGAGGTCARCACAAACAAACGGAGAAATTAAAGGCTTTGTACCACCCGAGCCAGTTGTTTATATAAATGATGTGTGTGTGTGTTTACCTACAGGCTCTCAGCAACCAGCAGAAAGCTGTTCTGATGAGTGAGAGAGTCCTCGGCATTGAGCACCCAAACACAATTCAAGAATATGTACGTTTTTTTTAATGCAGGACTTTGGTTTTGTTGAACTAAATCACTTCAGTGTTTTTATTTATTATTTTTTCTCAGATGCACTTGGCTCTGTACTGCTTTGCCAACAGCCAGCTTTCAACCGCGCTGAAGCTGCTTTATCGTGCTCGATACCTCATGTTGTTGGCTTGTGGAGAAGACCACCCAGAGATGGCACTAATAGATGTGAGTTCAGCTTGACTGTGTTTATTAAACCATTAATTCCTGCTGATAAATGCCTGACCCAGTTGTCCTCCACAGAGTAATATTGGGCTTGTTCTACATGGAGTGATGGAGTACGATTTATCTCTGAGGTTTCTGGAGAACGCCTTAACCATCAGCACAAAGTACCACGGACCCCGGTCCCTCAAAGTGGCCCTCAGGTGAGTGGAGAGTCGTCACGTTGACGCGCGGTGTTAAAAAACCTCAGTTCTTACGTTGTCTCGTTTCTTTCAGCCATCATTTGGTTGCCAGAGTGTATGAAAGCAAGGCCGAGTTCCGCTCTGCTCTGCAGCACGAGAAGGAGGGTTACACCATTTACAAGAACCAGGTAGATCCTGCAGGAACCTAAAGATGCAGTCTCTGTGAAGGTTTTAAAAAGTGTGATTTAATCGTATTTGTTTTTCGCCTCCTAGATGGGCGAGGCTCATGAGAAAACCAAAGAGAGCTCAGAGTATTTGAAGTATCTGACCCAGCAGGCCGTAGCTCTGCAGAGAACCATGAACGAGATTTACAAGAACGGCTCCAACGCCAGCATCATGCCCCTCAAGGTGATTCCTCTCAGACGAACGCGTTTTCCTATTCAGTACCTAAAAAATTATATTGATCCTGACATCATGTCCCTTTGTATTTCCAGTTCACTGCTCCCAGCATGACCAGCATCCTGGAGCAGCTCAACATAATCAACGGCATCCTCTTTATACCTCTCAGGTAGAGTCAGAGGGGAGTGTTGATTGGTTGGTTTATTTCCAACATATTAACTATATACAGTCCATTATTTAAAGTGAAATGAGAGAGAAGCATAAATAAAGAACCTACATGGGAAAATAAAATCAATTTAAAATTAAAAAGTGCACAAGCACTCTTCACTTTGTATGTTTGTACATGTTGAAAAGTAGAGGGAAGAATTATGAACTTATTTAATCCCTCCTCTTCACCGTTAGTTGTCAGCCTTCACCGGTCTAACTCTCCATCAATACAACCACTAATGGAATAATACATGTATTTACCATAATATATCTTAATACAGGTTATTGTCATATTTTTACATATCTTTATAAATCATGAAAATATCTCATAAGATTATCTTTAAAGYCATCAGGACAATCGGAGCATCCTTACAATTGTTGGAAAGGCAAAAARTCTGCACAATTATATCACCGTGTGAACCCGGCAGTACAACATATTTTAGCTCCGTTTCAAATGGACGACACTCGTTTATGAAGTGTGGGTTTTAATTYGTTTTTACTAAAAGCTTTCAGACAATTTATTACAACCTCTTAGGGCTCGGTATCGATTCAGATTTCCCAAATCGATTCGATTCACGATTCAGTTTGRTTTTTAAATTAGTTAAGGATATTAAGCAGTAACATATTTCCTTTTGATAAAGAAGACATTCTCAAAGGAACTAATTCTGCAAATAGAAACTAATTCTAACTTGGTGCGTTGGTAAAATTATAAACATTAAGGGCAAACTTGTAAATTGGAGTCTAATCTTGAAACAAAAACATCTCAAGTTTCAAAGGGTTTAAACTAAAACGAATTGCAAGAGAAAGTGTTGTTGGATACTTTAGTTTTTTAAGAAACTAACAATTATTTTCTTGATCATTAAGAAGAGGTGGGATAATGTAAGTGTACTTCTGCCCACTCTTAGTGTATAAAAATTGCAAATTTGTAATGTTTCTTTTAGCTTCTGTTCAATAAAACTTATTAACAAGAAAAAAAGAAAAAAGAGCACTTCAGCTAAAACATTCCATCACTGTGAATTGATGTTTCTAAAATTTATAAATAAAATTGGTAACAAAACTAAACAATTTTGTCTAATTTTCACACTTTTATACATGCTGAGGAGAACAGTTTCAGTCAGATGTTTACATACTGAAGTTTTGGTTCGAGCCGCTCAAAGCTTTGTTTCCCGCTACCACGTCCGAGCACAAATCTTTGCAAACAAAAGTTGTCATGGTCTCTGTTATCTTTAAGTTCAGCTGAGAATCAGCTGTAATGTTAGTGATTCCTTTGTTTCTTTTGTTTTGCCCCAGACAACTTGTCGGGAGCTAATGTTAGCACTGACCGTCAACCGGCTGTAAACCTACGGCAAGCCAGGAGTGACACACAACACTGAAAATGCACAGCTTCATCGCACACAACACTCATGGGGAAAAATCAGTCTYATGACTWATGAATCGATTTTCCCAAATTTGAATGAAACTCGATCCAGATCGATTAAATCGATTTTTTTTTTAAACCCAGCCCTCCAACCTCTCAATCTTTGTCTTTTTCAGCCAAAAGGATCTGGAGAACCTGAAGGCCGAGGTGCAGAGGCGGCAGCTGCTGCAGGAGCTGGGGAAGAGCGAGGAGCTGGCCGAGCAGAGCCTACTCGAACTAGAAGACAAAATCTCTGTTGATTAAAAAAATAACAAACAAAAGCCTCAACAAAGAAACTTGATACTTAAAAAAGGGGAGGGGATAGAGGCTGTGGTGCRACAGCCTGGAACCTGTGGACTTAAAAAAACAAGTAAATCAACTCTGAAATAAACTGGGGGAGGGTGGGATCAGAGACTAACTGGACTGTAAGAGAAAATGAAAACGGAGCAGGAGTTTCCTACAAGGTAGGAGCGGAACTGACAAAAAAAAAAGAATCAGTTACATGCAATCTGAATCCTCCTGGGCTCAAGAACCTGGTGTGAACAGGTTTGCCACTTACAACTCCGATTATTTGACAGAAGAAAAGCAGCCGAGGAAAAGAGACCAAGAACGACCATGATTTTATGAACCAGAGCCTTATCCACTCGATCATCTCCAAATCATGCTTCTTCTCCGCCCGCAGCAGTGTTAGCCCAGGACCACGTTCCACCCCACCACTGCCTAAAGAGCCTCTGAAGACCGCCTGACCCAACCTCCAGCTCTGATCTGTCAAAGGTGCTTCGAACGCTGACGGCACCGACCCTGTCCGAGAACACGGGGGGCTTTCTTTCTACTGTGCACTAAAACCATAATAAAGTCATTCAGTATGAGCGTTTTCAAGCTTGGGCTTCAGAATGTAATTTCTACCTTCATCCGTCTCTGATGGCTCAGGAGCTGAAACGCTCCGTCACGTTTGGCCACATCCCCGGAGGGGTCAGACAAAACAATTATTTGAATTTTATTCCTTTTTTTTCTTTTCTTTAGGTGAGTTGATTTTTATAAAAATGCACAGGAGAAAAAGCTTATTGATCAGTTAATTTAAGCCATGTCTGTTGTATAGGAAATGTTTAGAAGATATATGAATCTAATGGATCTAGACAAGTACATGATGTGAATAAAAGGGTGTAGTGGTCACCAAGGGGTGGAATGTTTATTAGGGGAAGGGGGGCGGGATTTAAAATACGTCCACTTTAAGCAGTACATTTATCCAATTATGAGCGCAAAAAGTGAGGGGATTTGTGTTTGATTATTTAGTTGCTTTTTGGCATTAAATCTCCAGTTGGAAAGCTGGTTTATTCATAAATGGAGTCACATTTGTAAGGGAAATGTGTTAATGGGTTGCACCCACTGCTAAGGGGCTTATTTTATTGACTCGTGTGTTGAGCTTCAGATGCCCCAGGTGTCAATCAGGCGCCTGACCTGTGACCAGCAGCATGAGGAGGTGGTGGCTGCGTATGGTTCTTCCACATGCTGACGCCCTTGTTTGTTCAGTGAATAAACTGTTCATTTGTCTTTTTTTCTTCAGATTTTAATCATCCAGTCCAGTATAATCAGAATAAACATATTTGAAGAGTGTTTTTTAATTGCTTGCAAACCAGAAATATATTTTTCCAAYAAATGTGGCTTCATTTAAGTGAGAATAAACATTCCAACAATGAGATTTATTGCCCTAAAAATTAGTACAATAATAAAATAAACACATTTCTTCGCTTTTTCTGCTAAGCGTTTATTTAAAACTAGCTGTGTTCAGTTTTCTATTTTTACATTCTGACAGAAAATGTGTGTGTGTGTCATCATGTAGTCTGACAAAAAATCTGTTGCTGTTTCTGATGCGTAGTCCGAATCGAGTCAAATATTTGCTTTTTGAATATTTTATACAAATTAAAGCTGTAAAATCAACAATGCCTATTTTCTTAAAACATTCATGGCCCACCAGTGTTAAACCTTCTGTTTTGAAGTTCGGTACTAAAATGAACCTCTTCTTACAGCTTTGCTGGGACGTGGGAAGAGTTTTCTCACAGCTGGTTGTGTTGTTTTTGTTCTTGTTCGTTTCACGAGTATTGGACATTTCAAAATGTGGCCAGCAGCGAGCGGATGTGCTGCACTTGCTTTCTCTCGAGCTGTGCATTCATGTGCATGGCATCACCAGAAGTGGACACAAAAATAAATAAAACAGGGCTGTTTCATTATGATGTTCTCCAAAAGAATAGAAAAGACAAATGTTTGTATGTATACATGCAATGTGTTACCTCTCCAATGGTAATTTGTTATCATGTGTTGAGATGTATGTGATTAAAGCAATAGAGAGATGATGCTGGAGCTAATTTTTAGAGAAACATTTTTTCTTTTTTTACTTGGCACAAGACAGACGATAGATCTCAGTGACCTGAAACTAGGAGAGAATAAGAATTAGGCCTCTGATGAGTGATGAGGGCCTGCTGCAAGGATCTCCTTGTAGTATGTCCCATCAGTTGCACAGAGATGCCTTTATTCCTGTTTATGCTTTTGAATGACGTATGGGCGATGAAGGGGTAAAACTTTGACATGATTTAAAACTGAGGTTTCCCTCCTGGTTCTGTTCTATCTTGTGTCTTGAGTCAGAATTCGTTTCTGTTGGACTTGGTTCGTGTTATTTGCTGTAATACTGGCGGTGGSCACAAGAGGGAGCCAAAAAACCTTTATGTTAAAGGAAAATTTAGTTCCAAATTGATTTTCTTTTATTAAAACAAATATATAAAAGGTTTAGGATTACTTTAGAAGATGTAGCAGCTGAATTTTGTTTTCTTAAAATAAAAAGTAAAACTTTACAGAAAGGCAAAACTGACAATGGAAATGAATTCAACATTGCTCTTGTTAAATATGCAAACGTTTATTGGGAAATATGATAAGCAGGAGCTAATGATATAAACATTAACCTAAAGTTGATACTTCACAACACCCTGCTAGAATGCAGTGTTTTGGGTACATAAAAATCTAAAATTAATCCTCAAATATGCATTTTACTTGTTTTTTTTTTTTTAATTTTTTGTCTGTGTGACACACTAATGGAATATGCACACAAGCTTTAGTGGTTAAAATCTGCTCTTCCCCCAATAGTGTGCTTGATGTTTGTGTGATGCTTTTTACATACTAAT